CTCTCTCTCTCTCTCTCTCTCTCTCTCTCTCTCGCCCTCTTCCCCACTCATTCAGAGGTAGTGAGGGGCTTCCCCTACCCGCAGTCACTGCTTTTTTTTTTCAAATTGCCGCCAAGTCGTTGCGTTTCGTAAATTGTAAGCCCCACTTAAGCGCCGCTGCAGTTCCCCACTCGTATCAAAAAGATTGTATCATAATTTTCAGTTCACGAACAACACCGGGCGCGACACCGGTTCGGTGCAGGGGTCCCGTCGCGCCAATTTTTGGAATACATTTGTTTTTCTTCCATAATCATTAAAAATTGCCTGTATCACTGAGAGGGCATAGGTGTAAATTCATCGTCCTTTGGAGGATTCGATTTTTTTTCCAATTTTGATTTTCGCTGTGATTTTTATTGTCATGAAATTTTGAGTGATTGGAAAACTTTCTGGTGGAGACATTGACATTTTTTCGGTGAGTTTATTCTCGGTTTGATTAGATTTATCCGTACAAATCCGTACAATGATCTTTGCTCGAATTGTTGGAATGGTCATTAATTAATTTGATATTCAGCTCACTGGGTGCAGTTTTACGACGCTCATTCAATTTTTTCGAGGGTCGGCGTTCAATTAACGTAATTGAGTGATTACGGGAATTCCTCGTAGAATTTTGTTATCAAATATTTTGCAGAAAGCAGAAAGGTACATTCGGAATTACTCGTATGAGTGGGTTTTATAGAGCACCACAGCCCAGAGGGAATTTTTGAATTCACGTGATTTTCGCGATTGGATAATTCAGATGAACTTTCCTCTGGGGTGATGCGCACGGAGAGAAAAATCGACATATTATGACAAAAATAATTTATTGAGTGGAGAACATCGCATGCATATTCGATTAATTTATGGTAGGTTTCAGGCAAGAAATCGGTGCTCTTCGGACTAAAGGAGGATGATACAGAATGAATAAATGATATGTTTTTCTGGAAATTAGATAATATTCCTGAAGAGACAAAGTAAGTTTGAGAGAAGGAAAAGATGGTATTGCTTTCTTTCAAACTCATTGCGATTGAGAGCAAGTGACGGTTATATTTTAGAAATATCTGAAGGTTCTCCCCTGTAGAAATTCTGTATTTATTCGATATGAAAGTCTCTGATCCATGATTCACTGAATCGAAGCTTTTAGTATTTTTTAGTAATTTTCTCATATTTTTACACGAAATGAACGATTTCTTGAGGCAATAAATTGTCACTTTATCGCCAAGTGTTCGTGTTCGAGTCATGAACATTTCATTGGATTTTTACACGGCCTGACTCATTATTCGGAATTCTTATCACAAGCGTTTTATCCTCAAAAGATGAGATATTTGACGCAAGAAATTAGTTTTGTGATACTATTTCGATATTTCTCACAGTGCATCGTCTTTCTTCACCTAAACCCCGAATTCCGTTGAGTGACACTCGCTTTTCACAAGGTTATTGGCAAACTGAATTTCCCCTCCGTTATTTTCTACGAATAAGAACATTTTTCACAATAAACAATTGATAATTTCATTTTTATGCATTTCAAGGTAATTGTTATCGTCAAAAATTATGAATAAAAATTCCCTTCGATTTTTTAATATCATTCTAGTGTCTCTTCGGAAGAGAATCTGAATAAAACAAAATTTATCAATTGATGTGAGAATAAGAGAAATATGAATTCGAGAAAATGTAAAAGAGTTCTAACGGCACGCGCCGAACAATTCATATCCAGGCCATGCGGTGGACTTGTCCACGCACGAGGAAGTCGGCATAACGTTTTCGTGCTCACGTAGAAAATACACGTGTAATCATGGAGTAACGTGGACAGTTGACAGTTTTTCGAAGTCTAGAAGATTCGCTTGTCGTTTAAAGTCATGGAAAATATACATCCGTTGTTGTAATTTATCATTTTCAACGAATCGACTAGTTTTTTTTCTACAGCACTTGTTATCGTCTTCGACCGAAGCTATTCTGTTTCCTTCGATCATAAATTGGTAGCAACAACTCTTCATCGTATACTGTTTTTTTTTGTTTTTTTTTTTAATGAAACTTTTAAATGAAACTTTAAAAGAAACTGCATCTTCTCGTCTCGTCTCGTCAACCTATTACATGAAAACAGTCCTGGTTATCTCATCGCAGATTTATGCTCCCCCCTTTCCGCCACGCCACTTTCTTTGAGACTCACCTCCACACGTAATCGGATTTGAACCCCCGAACTATAATTATCTTCCTATTATTTACCCTTCCAGTCATCATCCTTACATCACCCATCAAATGCTCACGATATCCACTGACATGAGGGAATTACACTCTCCTGGACGCACTCAAATTGCAAAATTCATTTTCAATTTGAATTTTATCAACAATATATTATGTTACCATATATGAACGTCTGCCTGAGAGGAGCACATTCTGTCGATTCTACACTGAGAGAAAAACAAACTCGTTGTCAAACAAGTCTTGTTTGGGCCAACAAAATCGCTAGTTGAAAATTGCTAAAAAAGAATTTGTTTGGTTCGAATTTGAAATTCTCAAACATGAATAATTGTTCTGCTTTCGACAGCAATGAAATATTTAGCCCAAGAGGCGGATAATTCACACCAGACGGTGCCTTTTCAGGATGAAAATATCTCAGATAGAGGAAAACCAAATGCCAGCAATATCAATCGGGGTAATTGAACTGCTACACGCCCGTTCAATCTCAGCCTAAACCTCTCACGTAATTTTCACGTTAAGTCATACGAAGAATGCTAAAACACTCATCGTCACGATTTCCCCATGTAATCCCACATCCAGGAACTTGGTAATCTGAATTACATCATCCAAACAGTTCAGTAAAATCAAACATAACATTACAGACGAGAATAGGCGTCGGAGAGAGATGGGCCGCGGGGTCAGGCCAATCCCCTTTCAGGAAGTGCATCTAAAGAAATTGAAAATGAATAAAATAACATGAAAATATTGTGCAATAACTTGACCTGAGATGGACAATTCCATGCGTGGCATTTCACTTGTCTCTGATTCTCTCTGTCTCTGACTCTCTGCTTCTTATTTATTGTTGCCATTTTCATGGATGTCTCCGTCCATATGTAGCATTGCTTCCCTGTGTTACGTGTCCAAATTAGATAGTATTGGACATCCACGTGATCTCGCACGTCTACTCACATTAGATTTTTTCTCTTATCACGTAATGCAGAGGGGTCCCTCCCCCTGTTTGCACGAAGAAGTAATCACATAAACTTGTTATTTCGTTTTCATTTTTAGAGGAACAAACAAGACCCATATGGGCCTGGCCTTTCCTCATCTCCTGCTGGGGAGATCCGAATTTTTCCATTTTTTAATTTCATTCGTCTCAACTACACTGTTGAAAATTTTCGCCTCAATTTTCTGTGCCAAATCCTGAAAATTTTTATCGTGTTCAAATGCCCAATGAAATTTCAGGGAATATTGTCATTGACAATCAAATATTCCATTCATTTTTGGTTCAAATGATCTAAAAATCAATAAAATACTTGATTTTTCACATAACTTTCAGGGAAAAATTGAAAATTCATGTACTTTTGTTGCTGAATATTCATTCATTCATATTTCCATCTCACTACCACTCCAAACTCATGAGTTTCCTTGAAGTCCACCTAAAACTTGAAATTTCATAACCATTTTTCCCCTCAATCCGACTCAATGTCACTCTCATGAGAATTACTGTGATATTTTTCATGAAATTTTCAGTTGCAGGAAAACTGACAAGTTGATTATTGTTGTTGGAACTGACTCCACTCAATCAGAAGCATTTTACAAAAGAAAACAACGCAAAAGAACAAAAATTCATACTCTCTTTTGAAATTTTTCAATGATGACGTATCCAAGTGAATTCCCTCGCTCCATTACCCATTATCGGTGGTATGCACCAAGTACGGAGAAATGCCGCGAAGAAAGCGTAGCGAGAAACCAATAACCCACTGTTTCAATGACCTGGCCAACTTCAATCCATCAGCGATGATTCATCTACACATTGTCATGTCAGGCTATTATAAATTCACCTTCGTAATTCATGTCATCTGATCCAGATTTCACAAAATACCTGATCACACGCAATAATTTAAAGGATTCGTGATTCAGAAATTTAACTAACTAGAGTTAATCAAGCTTACAAAGTTAAAATGGAAAAGTTTTCAATATCCTGTATAAATTTGAATTACTCCGGTAGAAATTCAAATCAGCTTCGAATAAGGAACTAACCAGTAAAAACTGGTTTTGATCAGTTTTGGATAAGAATTGTAACGCTTGTTTTGATCCACGCCTGATCCGAATGTCAAGGGCGGGCCTCATCATTCATAAATTAGCCAACATACAATGAAGACAAGATTTGGAACTATCTTGAAGTTCATATCCACACATGTATGCGAGTATTGACTATCATTAATATTTCTATTGATCAGTAGAAAATTCCTATGCTCTCCATTTCATCATTCGTTAATTCACTGGGAAAATGTCTTACCCTACTCCCACCATTTCCACTTTCTATCGCTCTTGAGTTGGTAAAATCCGGAATCAGGTCGAAGAGCAAAAGTCGAATTTTTTAAAATTCCCCAGAACCATCTGTTGCTTCCTTTCCGGAATGACCGAGTACAATTGCACAATCGGAGAAGTCGAAAAAAGAATGGAAAAAATATACTGTCTCAGGTGAATACGACCTCGAACAACGCAAACCGTAAAATTCCATTTGAAGATCGTGCTCGCGTGGGTCACAAGAGATCATAACGGGCCTGCGGAGCCTATCATATTGTCCTCTCTTTTATTTACATGAGACCGAACGCGTGCTACAGCGCGTAATTGTAACGGTCATAATTGAAAATCTCAAAATTAAATTAATCATGAATTAAATTTGAGGCCTCAGACGACTGGAACCAATGAGAAATAAGCGCGACAGACTTGCGAGATATCGATAGTTATCGACTTTAAGTGTATGTTCTTTTTAGAATAGGACGAGATTGGCTGCGCGTGCTGCGCACGCGCCTTCCCATCTCCTCACGTAGTGGCGCTTCGGTTTCAGTCTTACGCTTACGCTTATTCGAGATTTTCGAGATATTTCGAGATCGATTTCCTTTCTCCTTTTTACGATAGGATGAGACCGAACGCGCGCGACAGAGCGCTGTAATTGTAACGATCATAATTGAAAATCTCAAAATTAAATTAATCATGAATTAAATTTGGCGCCTCAGACGACTGGAACCAATGAGGAATAAGCGCGACCGACTTGCGAGATATCGATAGTTATCGACTTTAAGTGCATGTTCTTTTTAGAATAGGATCTCATCTGTTGCAATAGTAGATGAAGCAAAAAATTCACTTTACCTTCCGTTTCTGATTTATCTTCCCGTTAACGTCTCGAGTTCGCCGAAGTTGCAAGGAAAAAAGCAATTATGGGGTGAAAAGTCATCAAAGATATGAAATGTAAAAAATGACGATGGTTTATAGTGCTAGAAGTCTTTGTTACTCGTTGACGCATGACCTTTTATTTTCTTTCGTGATATACGTTAGCGGAATTTTTTCCAAGCAAGTTATTATAGTTTTTGTCACTCTGTAAAAAATAGCGGTCAAATCGGTTAATTTCAAAACGAATGGATAGAGAAAACACACAATGACTCATTAATTGATCGATTGAATTATGAAATATTCGTTTTTTCGAACTTCGAGATTTGAACTTGATAGTGAAGTGAAATACGTTTATTCAGGTCAGAAGTGGAAATTTACGTAATTGTGTGATTATCTTTTATGTTTTTATTTGTAGACAAGAAAATTTCTTACAAAAAAATTCATCAAGCTTACATCTGTTCATTAGTGTTATGCTTATTAGAATTAGTTATCATTGATGAAACAGATAAAATTTTAACTAAACAGATTTTCTCTCTCAGAAAATCAAGTCTAAACTTTAATTTCAATTTAGCTAGCACTTCCCACAATGATGTCAACATCGCGATTTAACGCGAAATCTTATCTACAAAATCCATCAAATTTGAATAAAACTCTGACAAAAGTCAACAATTGACTGCAGAATTAAAGATATATCTTCCACAAATGCGGACCTGAAAAGAAAACAAAACAAGGAAAAAGAATAAATATAATTCAGTAGCGAAGTGGTAAAACGGATACAGAAGTAAATTCTGACTATTGACCAGTTTTCAATGAATATCTCGGAATCCAAGGGAGATAGCAAAATTTTTGTTATAACCTTTTTTGTAGAGCCGACTGAGAGCTACAACAAATGTAATTACGAAAATTTCGCTATCTGCCTTAGATTCCGAAATATTCCTCAAAAACTCAACGGGGGCATACGTCGACTTAAACCGCTTTACCACTTCGCTAATGAATTCTCAATTCTGTTTTGCTTACCTGTTTCATTCAATTTAAACTACTAAATATGTATCTCCACATTCATCTGTCCCATCAACAAAAATCTTCACGAACAATAACAAAAACATCTCGAAGGAAACGTTTATGTTGCAACGTGGAGAAACTGCACATTACAATGACCCTTAATAAACCCAAGTGTATGTCAACAACAATCTCCTGCACATGTGCATCGAAATAAACAGCAGTGAGCGTGAGGAACACTCGTGCCCGACAGCAATCGATGGGATGAAATGTTTGCATCTGTGAACTCTACTACAGATAAATACAACTCCCATACCTGGAGGGAATAAAAATGAAACTCTTAACGTATTCATGAATTTCGTAATCTCAATTTACAAGCGGTGGTTTCCCGGTAATTTTGAATCATCACAGCATCATTATAATTATATCGAGAGTTTTCTTCTCGACAATTTTATTCAATTGTCTGTGTGACTTCAAATTGAATGAAAATCATTCATTTGAATTCTCCTCGTGATCCCTAGCTGTTTTATCCTTCACGAAATGTGAGCGTCAAATGCATTTTAAGGCACGATCGCCAAAACTAAGATTTATTGATCTTTAGCCATTAAAATTACTCTTCCTCTTTTGAGTTCCACGGTCCTATGAACGAATTGGCACATGCCCTTTCTATCGGATTCTATCGTTCATGTCAAGCTTGACTTCAAACGGAAAAAAAACTTCGGGAAAATTTACGTGACAAAACGTAAAAGGGGAATTTTTATGCAAAAACTTGGATAAAATTTCAAGAGAAAATTAATTTTCCCAAAAAATATGCACAGAGAACAGTGATTTTTGAGGATCTGTAGCGATATATCACGATTTTATGGTACGATTGCCGCAACTTTTTTCTCCTTGAATCCTAAACAATTACGATTGTTACAAATATATGTATTAAAAAAAATTTGTTTCATAATTGTGAAACCATAAAAGAAAATTAGAGAAAATTCATCGGAAGATCTTTTCGTAAGAAATTTCACTTTTTTTAGCTATGAGGGATGTCAACCAATCAGAATATAGTATTCGAATCCGCCAGACGGTTTGAGAAATTTCTACAAGGAAATAGAATTATTAATGGAATTATCAATTTCTCTATGATATTTCCCTGATAGTTCTGCCAGGATGACGACTGACGTGAAAAAGAATGATCAGAATTTTTTTGTGGAGATTTTATGCATTACAAAAGTGTCCTCGCGATATTTCTCCTTGCGCATACTAGTTTAGGTGATGTTTGCCGAATGATCCGCACAAAATTCCCAGGGTTTCCGGTCTCGAGCGATTCCACTACGGAATTAAATCCAAGGAGACAAATGTGGAATTCCCACTCGTCTCTTGTCAACATGTTTGTCAGATGAATTTGAAAACTTCTTTATGTCACAAATGACTGTGACCATTGACCTTTTTTTTCTATGTGAAATCATTAGACTTGTCAAATCATTGTAAGAGGAATACAAATTAAAAATGCATTATTCCGTCATTGCACAGTATTTTTTTCTCAGGATTTCCAGCAATGGCAATAAAAAGAACAATCAGAGGAATAAAAAGAGTGTAATCAACGAGACCTGGTGATTACACAGATGAAAACTATGTATATAGGTAACCAAATTGCATTGATTCAGATCTACTATGAAGCAAGAAATATAGAAATGAGTCAAAACGTTGTATAATTTTTTAAATATCTCAGAAATATGCCGGAGCTTCCGACATTCCATCGGAAGATCGGAAGATATTTTTACTTCAGTTTTCATTTAAATTCATTACGAATTCCTACAAGAACTTCCAAACTGATCACACGGAGAGAAATTTTTGACAAAAATTATCCTACCGTAGGGGCTGTATTAAGGGACTGTGAAGAGGATTGTTAAGGGGGTGAAGTCTTGTCATTTTTTGAAGAGTGTCTCTTTCCGTTACACTTATTATTTCAGTAGCGAAGTGGTCAAACGCTTCAAGTCGATTTTGGCTGTTGGCCAGTTTTCAATGAATATCTTGAAATCTAAGGTAGATAGCAAGATTGTTCTCATAACCTTTTTAGTAGCACTCAATTCGCTCTACAAAAAAGATTTCCATGAAAATTTCGCTATCTCCCTTAAATTCGGAAATATTTCTGGAAAACTCGACTAAAGACTAAATTGACTTAAACCGTTTGACCACTTCGCTACTAATTTGATCGGCATTTCTGGAAAAGAGCAGCAGTGGAAGGGTCTAGTTCAATATTGCCAGGCAAATTGCTTCACAAATTGTATCGATGTGGTGCATCCCGAGGATGTTCGATTCGTGAGAACTAAAAGTATTGACTTCACCAGAAAAAGAGAAAACTGTGAGAAAAAAATGTGATAAAAATACGCAAAGATAATGAGTGCATAATACCGAGGGACATTAATGCCACTGATGCATAAACATTTATAAATGTGAAACTACAACAACAACAATGCATCTGAAACGCTAGACAATCTGTTTTCCTATGTCTCCTTTTTACACAATATAACGTAATACCACGATTGACGTAGAGCGGATAGTCTTGAATTATACAAATATTTTGCTCACCTTATTACCGAACGATTAACAAGAACGATTACGAGTAGATGGTTTTTCTCAATGAGATTATTAGCCTCTCTTGTAGGCACACGATAATGTTGTTGTTCACGTTTTCAACAATTAATTCAAGTTTACTTCCGTCACGATTGGTCCATTCATTGATTTCCTCATACATGAACGTTATTCATAAGTGTATGAAAGCTGTCATGATCACTAACAAGAGATGATCTACCTATAAATTTTAATTGTTCAGGTGAATTTCAAATGAACACCAGCGGCGGTCTCACAGCTCCCGAGATGTCGAACATCTACAATAATTCCATTGTCAGCTTCTACAACCACATCTTCTATGATCTGGCTGGTAAGTGCAGCCAGCAGCCTTTTATAAAAACTTGGAAAAGTTTATAGAATGAACTGAGAGTCGTTGCTGAGTAGAACAGTTAAAATATTCTTCTCACCGTCAATAGCATTGAATTTACATGTGAAATAGATGCATTAGTTAGAGAGAAGATGAGGAGCATTAGATCGTTCTAATTTTAGTTATGATAATGCCACATTAAATGCATCTTTCAGACCCAAGGACGAGGGACTGGTTCCTGATGTCCTCGCCAGTTCCAGGAGCGAGTATAATGATTGGATATCTGTACTTCGTACTATCCTGGGGCCCTCGTCACATGGAACACAGGAAACCGTACAAGCTTAACAATACTCTCATTTTGTACAACTTTGCACAAGTATTGCTGAGTATATGGCTGTTTTGGGAGGGGTTGGACGGCGCCTGGTTGGATAAGTACAGTTGGAAATGTGAACCCGTCGATTACTCCAATACACCCGAAGCCCTCAGGGTAAGTATTCTTAAGTAAAGGGTTCGTTTAATTAATAAATTGTTTATTGGCGATATTTGGGGCGATAAAATGATATAGTAATCACGACCACTAAAAAGACGCGTCTGTTGAATATAATGTAAGATTAAAGAATAACTAAAAAGAAAGAGACGATCGTGTCGTACGGCCGGGAGAATTACGGCGCATCAACTCCGTTATTCAATGAACGATAACTTGAAAACAGTCGAATGAAAAAAATTGAAATAAAATGCATTGGCTGGGTGAACTTTGAAATAAACTACTAGAGAATTTCCTAATTTTTCACACCAATTTCAATGTTTGCCGACAATTGATTGCTAGGGTGTCGCTAGGTTGTCTATTCCCTAGGTTGTCTATTGATTTTATTCATGCGTGATTATCTCCTGATTTTTTTTCCGAATTTTTCCCTTCAAGTTAAAAGCTATCAAAATACAGTCGTGAATAAATCAATGTAATTCCACAGGTAGCAAGAGGTGTATGGATATACTTTCTCGCAAAAATATCCGAGCTCTTAGATACAGTGTTCTTCGTCCTGAGGAAAAAGGAAAGGCAAATATCATTCTTGCACATGTATCATCATACGGTAATGCCACTGATATCATGGGGTGCTACGAAATACTATCCAGGTGGTCACGGAACATTTATCGGTGGGTATTGGGCAACCATAAAATATTGGATATTGCTCTAATCGAAATAATATTGCAGGTGTAATCAACAGTTTTGTTCACATCGTAATGTATACTTATTATCTCCTGGCTGCTGCTCTACCTCAGTATCAACAGTATTTGTGGTGGAAGAAGTATATCACAACGTTACAAATGGTAATGTATCTTGGTTTGCACTGACCTCATTCAGTTGAATCGTTCAATCCAACAATTTCGTAATGTCGTTTTTATTTATTTTCTTCGCAGGGTCAATTTTGTCTTGCCTTTCTTCACAGTCTTCAACTTTTGATATACGATTGTGATTACCCAAGGTGGTCACTCATTCTTATTCTTCCAAACGTTACGTTCTTCTACTTTTTGTTCTCCGATTTTTACAAGAAAGCCTACGTCGCTGGAAAATCGAAGAAAAACGAGAAGATAAATGGTACGGGACAGGGCAATGGAAATGCAAATAATGTGAAACATAACAAGGACACCGAGGAAGGATCTAGGAAATACTCCAACGGTCATGTGCAAAATGGCAAAGAAAAACGTTCATAAATAGACTTGAAAGAGAGAACATTAAAGTAGCGAGTGATGGTAAACATCGACAGAATATCGGAAAAGGAAACATTAACTGTCATCATTCGATGATCTTCCAATTATGATTACGGATAATATAGTTACCAATGCTATCGATCGAGGAAAACTTGAATGATGTAGCCAAGATAGCCCAAAGTTGGTACTGTGACGACAAGATACTTGCACATTTTTGCAGTGCATTTTCTATGTTAATTTTACTATGAATATACTTAGAAAATTTTTGAATGCATCTTCGGTTTTCTAGGTAGAACAATCGCTCGCGCATCAGGCACAAGCGGGTGCCATTTGAGAAGCAAAAAAAGGATGAGAATGATCCGAAAAATTGCTCAGTAAAGTTTAACGACTAATGATACTGCTTCCAAACATTCCGATCTCCCGGCCGCATAACATAGATTTTAGTGACCAACCTGTCATAGCTAGTGTTAAATTCAGGACATAAGACATAAGACATGTGTGAGGGTAAATGAAGCAATTAAAATGATGAAGAGAATTGAAGAATCTCTAGCTCAAGTTGAATAATCAAAAATGTGTATTATGAAGATTTTAACGAAATTGGCCTATGAAGTTTAAAATATATATATATCTCAACCTTGTTCATTGACTCAGAGAATATGCTTCAGTTTATTGACTTAGAGAGAACGCCCGTACACTGAGAAAAAAACAAACGCGTTGTCAAACAAGTCTTGTTTGGGCCAACAAAATCGCTAGTTGAAAATTGCCAAAAAAGAATTTGTTTGGTTCGAATTTGAAAGTCTCAAACATGAATAATTGTTCTGCTTTCGATAGCAACGAAATATTCGGCTCAAGAGGCGGTTAATTCACGCCAGACGGTGCCTTTTCAGGATGAAAATATCTCATACAGAGGAAAATTTATCAACAAATATTTTATCCCTAAGTTACAAGATTGCTGTCATATCATTAGTATTGTTTCATTTAAGGGTTTATTTCTTGTCTGTGATTATTAGACCGCCGAAACGAAAAACTACTATCCCTTGTTCCGCATAAAACAAAGATTTTTCGGGAGCAAAATACGTATGGGAGTATCGAATAACGAAGGAGTTGTGCTAGAAATGACATTTCTTGCGTCTACAGAGGATGCAATTTTTTTTGAACTACTAAATCTATTTTTGCGACAAAAATTTTTCATTCTGGCGCACTCTCTGCATGTTTGGCACAAAAAACCCTTTTTTGATCATTTTCAAAAAACTATTTTCTCGGCACAAGTAGGACTTGTTTGAGAACTTCGTCGTTTTTCTCTCAGTGTATATGCAGTGATGCCGCGAGAGACTTTACGAGACAATACTTTGGAGAGATGGTCTTGGTCTCGATGAACTTGGAAATCTTCAGTCTCGTTCCAGTCTCGAAATACGCAGTATCGACTCCTCTCGTCATGACTCCGAGTCAATTCATCTCATTTCGGTCTCAAGTTTTTTGTATTTTTTCGAGATCGAGACGAGACCAAAAATTTCCGCGTTTACTGACAATGAGACCGAGACAATTCCTCCAAAGTACTGTCTCGTGATGTCTCGTAAAGTCTCTCGCGGCGTCACAACGTACATGTAATGAGGGCCCAAAGATCATGGCTTTAAGCTCGGCAAGGATTATATGCTCTCATTCTTGCCGAAACTGACAAATGAACCTCCTCAAACGTTATTCTCTCTAGCTTAGATGTACGAAAATCTCCAGATGTACCATAAAATTACATGTTGAAAGTTTATGTAGGAAAGAAATAAACCATGTGTTCCATATGATATAGAAACGGTTAGCGATCTGTCATTTATTTGTTTGTCGGAATTCAGCTGTTACGTTTCATTACTTTTTCATATTATGTAACACGAAATTCTTTTGTACAATATTATCATCTTCATTATACCCTGTAATAAAATAGAAAAAAAGTTGGTATTCAAATAATTCACTTTCACTCATTAATTCGTTTAATATAAACATGTGAGCAAATATATTTGGTAACATACATGGTAATAATAAATAACAAACGTTTCGATTACGCAAGCGATATGCGAAATGAGATGAGTTGGTTTTGTGCTGGTAAATTTTTGTTTAGAATCTCATTTATAAACCATATAAATACATTGATTTAAGATATTGTCATAACAATAAAAATTTTCAAACATTTTCTAGAAAGTGAGGCATTCGTATTGATTGGTGCTCCGTCAATAAGGTTGAAGCTATTTCGAAGTAATCAATCGGCATGATTACGATTCCTTTGGCGTCACGATTTATCTTGTTTTCCATACCATTTTTCCCCAGGATTACGGGAAAAATAATGAAAAAATTCCATCTCCATTATTTCTCCTGAATTACAGAGATTATTCACGGAAGACAGAGGTTTATATAGCGTTCCACATCTTGTGACGTCACTGGGTCACAAAAAAGGAGTCACTAAGGTCACGAAGTCACAAGTATCACATAAAAAAAAGAGTCGCGAGGGTCACGAGGATCACAAGGGTGACAGTGCCTTGTTGAATGTGTTTTTGACTGAAAATTCTTTTGTTGCAGATTTTGTTGACTGAATTTTTGTGATTATTGTTGCGATTTTTTCAGAAATAAGATCAATCGAAAACATCTCCAACAAAAAAATTTCCCTTAAAATTGAGTTTTGTTGTTTTGATGGTGTAAATATAATTATTGAATTCACATGTGGGAATGTGAGTGCATGAATTGTTATGTCAAGTACCTATACGAATCTTCACGGAAATGTTCGTATCTTGCAAAATAAGAGTTGAAATGCTTATATCCCAAAAACTAATTGAGAGGGAATTTTTTCTTCATTTTTTTCCGTATTCCTGAGGAAAAATGGTACGGAAAATCTATATCAAATGGCGGTGCCAAGGGAGTCGTAATCTTCCCACACACAGAAAAACCTAAATGTAAATTACGTTTATCAAAACGAATTTACGCTTCAGAAAGCGTAAAAGAGGACTTCTTAAACGTGATATACGTTTAGGTTGTTCTGTGTGGAATCAATCGCCTTCGACTTCTTCACAGGTGTGAATGTAGAGTAGAGGGTTCGTATAAGATACCTCGCGGTCCGAGCGCTCGAGGCCTACCCCCACTCTCGGCACTTTTATCGCCTCCCGAATGTTTGTTCCGTGGGCTTCTTTAAGATATCCAGGGCCCCGGTGATTTTTCAACGGGAAGAGAGTAGTTATGAGGATCAAACGGTGTTAAGGGTCAAACGGGAGGGACGAACGAAGTGATCATGAGGCTCTAATGACCTTAAGGGGGGGTCACACCACTTTTTTCAAGTAATGGAAATATACATCGATTTTTTTTTCACTTTTCCCATCGAAAAATCGTAATTTTTCGTCTGTGATTGTTCTCGAGTCCACCAACAATCCCCCAACATCAGGTGCCATTCTATCATGCGGGGTTATGTTTAGAGAGAAAAGGGAACGCGGGCGATACAAATTCAAAACATTAAACACATATAAACTGATTAGTTATCGATATTCATTCAGTAAAACTGAAAATTTCATTGAATTCGGGCGCGACGAGCGAGGTATCTTATTTGAAACCCGCTGATCCCTATTCTTCTCCTCTCTATCGGCGCGCGTAGTGGGGGCACGGGGGTTCCCGGATTTCCACTCTCCTACTGTCCCTAAGGTATCTTATACGACGCCTCTACTGTACTTCTGGCATTCAATCTCGTGACAGAATATTAACACATTGTTTCTTTATCTCACAGTTCATTAGATTTCTTTGTTGGCACTCATGTCTCCTTCTTCAAAGCGTTTTTCTTTGTGTATGCTTTTCGATAAAAATCACTGAAGAGGTAGAGGAAAATGACGACATTCGTTACGAAGAAGTAGGTGAGAGCCTTTGGCAGTGGGCAGTCCATTGCGAGAATCGACATAAGGTAAACAAGCATCAGACAAAATTGGACCTGTAGAGAAAGTTTGTCATTAATCAGACGTCTTGATGAATTTCCAAGCGTTAAAATGTCGAAACTAAAATTCCCCAGTTAATTAACGAAACAGTTTGGGACCAATTTACCTACAGATTATTTTTCTCACTCGGATTGCAGTCAATTAGAACGCATTATTCGAGGTCACGAGAGAGTTTTATTTCGGATATTTCCTCCTAGCTTTTGAAAATTGTGCAATCGCTCATTTCTTATCCTTGAAATACTGAATTTCGATCGCCCGATATCCCAGTGAGATAAATGAAGTGAGTTTTCCTGAAGCCTTCTTGATTAGAAATGAATACACTCAGTTTTGCAGGAGAAAGAATTTAATCTGCAAAAGTTGACACTTTCATTGCTATCCATTTCAAAGCCATCGAGAAATAGCGAATAATTTTGAAGCACTTGAAGGGATTCGAGAGAGTTTAAGAATATCCACATCTGTAGTTGAATATCTGTGCTTTCCTTCAAGTTCCATTAGACCCAAGGTTTCCATTCAATAACAATGCACAAATTAAAAAATTCGGAGGCACATGGATTCCAAAAATAACTCTCCCTTCCGGTTCGTCAATGAAAAAATCAATTTTTTGTGAAATATAATTTGAATGATATTGAATATTTATGACCTTTTTGAATTTTTCTCACGCACTTCAATTAATAAATTGTATAATTAAAAATCTTCAATCTTTAATACCCTTTGGGTCTTCAGAAATAGCCTTGAAAAAAATAATGGTATTCCTCGACTCGATAATCATTTGAATATCATTTGAAATCCCGGTCCGGACTATCAATTTTTTTCAGTAAAATTTTCTGGTTGTTCATGTTGAGAATAATTCCGGTTCCCCTCCTACCTCATCCAAAAATCATTTTCTATGACGTCACAAACATGTGTAACGCTATAAAATTCCCTTCTTCAATGTATCATGTTTTATGTTATCACGTTATGTTATGTTATATTATGTTTTATGTTATCATTACCAGTTGGATCCAAGTCATGTACTTCTTCCACCACAGGTACTTTCTGTATTGCGGACCTAGCGCAGCGATCAAGTAATAAGTGTACATGACAATATGGACAGAGGCGTTGAGAAATCCGATGAGGAGCCCCTGCTCACCAGGAAGAAGTTTCAAATAGCACCACGAGAACAGGGCTGTTATCGTGTGATGATAGACATGAAGAAATGTCACTTGATTCTGCTTCTTTCTCAGAACAAAGAAGACCTAGAAAGTATGCCGCAAGTGCTATGATATAATTTACACCGAGAGAAAAACAAACGCGTTGTCAAACAAGTCTTGTTTGGGCCAAGAAAATCGCTAGTTGAAAATTGCCAAAAAAGAATTTGTTTGGTTCGAGTTTGAAAGTCTCGAACATGAATAATTGTTCTGCTTTCGACAGCAACGAAAGATTTGGCTCAAGAGGCGGATAATTCACGCCAGACGGTGCCTTTTCAGGATGAAAATATCTCATACAGAGGAAAATTTATCAACAAATATTTTATCCCTAAGTTACAGGATTGCTATCATATCATTATTATTGTTTCATTTAAGGGTTCATTTCTTGTCTGTGATTATTAGACAGTCGGAACGAAAAACTACTATCCCTTGTTTTGCATAAAACAAAGATTTTTCGGGAGCAAAATACGTATGGGAGTATCGAATAACGAAGGAGTAGTGCTAGAAACGACATTTCTTGCGTCTACAGAGAATGCAATTTTTTTTTAACCCCTAAATCAATTTTTGCGACAAACATTTTTCATTCCGGCGCACTCTCTGCATATTTGGCACAAAAAATCCTTTTTTGATAATTTTCAAAAAACTATTTTCTCAGCACAAGTAAGACTTGTTTGAGAACTGTCGTTTTTCTCTGACTGCAGGCTGAATAATGCTACGAGAAACCGCCGAAAATGAAAATAAGTGAGATGAAATTATAAATGCAATTCAGTAGCGAAGTGGTTAAACGGTTTAACTCCTCTCCCAGTTGAGTTTTTGAGGAATATTTCCGAATTTAAGGGAGATAGCGAAATTTTCATAATAACCTTTTTTGTAGAGCAAATTGAGTGCTACTAAAAAGGTTATGAGAAAAATTTTGCTATCTCCCTCAGATTCCGAGATATTCATTGAAAACTGCTCAATAGTCAAAATTGACTTGTACCGTTTTACCACTTCGCTGCTGAATTAAAAATTATTGTGAGTAGTTTAGTTCACGGACGGATGGCACTAAATTGTCCCTGAGTTACAGTTGTCCTTGGTTCAAAGTTCAATGTCTCTAAACAGAATGGCATTCAATCACTGCAAATGCTTGATGCAAATGCTTAATTACCATGCTGAAATATTTCCCCTCATATCGATGAAGAGTGTGAACTGTTGTCAACTAGTTTTTGTTGTGTAAAGAGGTGAAATTTTGAGTGATAAAATGTATATTGAGCAGCAACGATAAGGCTCTGTCGATAATTGTGACATTGAACGCCGGAAAAACTAGTCAAAATAAACAAAACCGAACAAACGTGGGTTGCCATCATTTTCATATTTCACATACACGTGTGAATTGTGAGAATGGAAATTGTTGTATAATGAGTTTAATTGCGGTGTTAGAGATTTCTTACCGTGTCTAGCAATTCTATTACTTTTGAGAAGAAATACCACCAGGCAGCTGTCGTCAACTGTTGAGAAAAAAAAATGGTCATTCAATTGACAGTGTTTATCCGAAACCACAAGAACTTGAAAAAATTTCTAATTTTCACGAGATTGTATGTATTTTAATGATATAAATATCTCCACTATTTGGCTGGGCAGCCGACATTCCTCGTCGGACACGGGATTTCGTGTATTTGTTCGCATTACAGTCCACTTTTATTTAAATTTCTGGAGTCTCCGAGCAAGCGAGTTATTGTGAATAAATCCCATTAAAAACTCAGGTATAAGAAAAAATTGGATTATTAGTTTTGCCAAAGTGGTTGTATCCTTTTTTCATTAAGAGAGTAGTTTCACATGTCCTTTCATCAGCCCAAAAAATTACGCAATTTCTAGGCCAAACAGAAATGAGATTTTCGAAAGAGGCATGAATATTCAACTCTTCACGTAAACATCAAACAAATCGTAATTTTTCGTCTGTGATTATTCTCGAGTCCACTAACAATCCCCCAGCATCAGCTGCCATTCTATCACGCGGGCTTATGTTTAGAGAGAAAAGGGAACGCGGGCGATACTAATTCAAAACATTAAACACATGTAAATTGATTAGTTATCGATATTCATTCAGTAAAACTTAAAATTTCATTGAGTTCGGGCGCAACGAGTGAGGTATCTTATTTGAAACCCGCTGATCCTTATTTTTCTCCTCTCTATGAGCGCGCGTAGTGGGGGCACGGGGGTTCCCGGAATTCCACTCTCCTACTGTGCCTAAAGTATCTTATACGAAGCCTCTACTGTATTTTCGTTACCAGCCAGAAACAACTTTTCAGTGATCACTCGAGTCAGAAATGTTTTTCCGGCCGAGTGATAAACATGATTTTTCATCACACCATCTGCAAATGGCGTTGCACTGACATGAAAACTTTTTTGTTTTCGGGGAACTATCAGTAATTTTCAATCATCCTTGACATCCAATCGAAAATCTTTTATAATGGAGGAATTTTTCCCGGGAATCTAAGGGGAATTCTCCAAAATTTAGTGAAATTTTCAGCAAATGAGTGACAATTCATTTGCAATAAGTGACTCTCACTAAACACTAGAACTTTTTTTCCACTGTGTGGTGACCCACCCAACTACTAACCACGATCAACACACCGTCCAACTTGGATGTCCACCAGAGCAATATATTCCTCGCCATTACTGCTGGTTACTGAGTTTTTATAAAAAATGAAAAAATTTTAAATTGACTATCCACCAGCCTTTACCATTCTCTGATGATTTTTATCGCTTATTGTTCCAGAAGTACAGGTCTTCGTGAATATGTAGCTCAAGAAATCTGCTTTCAGTGCCTGAAATAATGAAACGAATAAATTTGCCTCTTAACTACGAAAAAATACATGAGGAATCAAAAAAAAATCTCACCAATGTTGCAAGCCAAATGCTGAATAAAACTTGTGCCCCGTTATACAGAATGAGTATATTGGTGAGTTGAAATGGAGGCCTCGACTCCATCATCTTCGGTCCAATTTTTAGGACAAATAAGAGATAGACACCGAGAATGAGTAGAACAGGTCCGGGAGAGCTCATGAGTGGCCACTCGTCGACCATTGGATCTGTAGATAAAACATACGTTAGGATTTCTTCTCAAGTCCAAATTTCCGATCTACGTCACAGAAAAAGTAAAAGGTCTTTAAGTCATCGGAGTCGGAATGAAATTGCTCGATTCGAAGAAATTGCTGCGATGTAATAAAATCGTGGCCCTGAATATGGCAATTGATATTGCATGTTCCTTCGCCTTGAAAGCATTTTCCCCATGGCAAATTAAATTTTCTAAACGGGCGTTTGTGAATTGTCAAATTCTAATTGCTACGATGACAGAAAATCATTTATTCATGTGTTTCTGCTGCGAAAGGGTATTATTCAAGCCTTCACATCAATCGTATGAATTGCATTATTTAAATTTCACAAGAAAGAACAAAAGTAGTGCTAATCGACTGCTTTTCGTTGGTTCAATGTCACTTTCAACTGTGCAGTAGCATGAGCAGATCTCAATGGCTCTGTGGGGGCATTGTGCATAGATTAATGAGATATGCAAAACACAAACGAGAAAGATTCACTAATGATGGTCAAAGGTTTGCGTTCAATGCCCGAGGACGGATATTATTGCAAAGAATATATGTATATTAAGCGTGAACTCGCTGGCAATATGTTCTCTTGTAGTGATGACAGTTTACCTTTGGTTGACTCCAGAATTTCATTGTAATTGCTGACGACAAGTTTCATGAAACTCGCCATGACTCTGATGTAATAGGATCCTCACCAGACAGTATACTCTAAAATTTACCAGAATGCATTGTATCAATTATAACACAAAATAATAATTTTCAATGTTGAAAAAAATTGGCCATCGATTGAACTATTTGTTATTGGATCGTTAAATAAATTAATTCAGCAGGTTTCAATTTTAACAACACCTCCACATGTCGATGATTCGTGCATTCTTGATGAGAAAACTACTTATTGTTCTTATTGAGATTAATTTTAAAAATCCTTATTTGTACTCACATTAATAACAATAATTATAGTAATATATAATAAAACTTGAGAGAATGTGAATTTTCGGTAGAGTAAAATCCACGTTGTAGTGAGGCCTCGAAGAACCTCACGGGAATGCCGCTAAAGTGCGTATCCCAAACCAGCAATAATGCTCGAAGCCAAAAGACATGATTCAGAATTACCGGTGTGGAGGGCCGAGAGATATCATTGGGCGATAGCTCTCCCCACCATTGTAACAACGTCCACCTTTCCACCGCGCGAAAAACTCAACTGAATTTCGATATTATTTCGGCATGCCATGGCTTTCGAATTTACCGGCAGTTATCCGAGGTATCAATGGAGTGCGTAATCTCCTGGTGTGAGTAAAAATATTCACCATTGATCAATCATATTTGATCACATTTGAGTGTTCAATGTCATTGGACGAGTTTAAGAAGTTACATAAATTTCAATTTAACATGTCGATGGAGTACAACTGGTTGAACTCCGTTTTAAAAGTGTTTTTCATTTTTTCGCCCCTTTCGTTGATTGAGCGTGAGGAATATGTAAAAATTGCAGAATGTATTTACCGAGTAATATGCGTCAATGGTGTATTTGCCAGGAATAAAGTTGCGCGGTTTCTTATGGACGGAAATGACAGAGATAGTCGAATTACTTCGTAGTGCTGTCTCCACGTGTGCGGTGCTACCCTCATGTTTATCTTGGAATTAGAGGGGAGGATTTTGGTTTGTCCGTAATTGAGGGGGACAGCGTTTATGGGGAGGCCTGTGATGATATTATGATCGACTAATTATAATGCGGATGATATGACAGATTCAAGCACTCAAATTTCCATAGAGGTGAAAAACGATTTCACGGGGAGACAGTGGTGGCCGTGATTTTTTCAATTTTCTCGCAGTTTCAAATTTCGTAATGGTTTCATTGATTGATGGATTTGAGGGGAGATTACGAGTTTTAAAAGTCGTGGGATATTGCAGTGAGATTTCTTAGGCATTGGAGATCGATTTTATGTGCTTAAAAATGAAGAATTCGGCAGCGAAGTGGCAAAAGGGTTTCAGTCGACTTATCTCCCAGTTGAGTTTTTGAGGAATATTTCCGAATCTAAGGGAGATGGCGAAATTTTCGTAATTACTCTTGTTGTAGCTCTGNAATTGCTGACGACAAGTTTCATGAAACTCGCCATGACTCTGATGTAATAGGATCCTCACCAGACAGTATACTCTAAAATTTACCAGAATGCATTGTATCAATTATAACACAAAATAATAATTTTCAATGTTGAAAAAAATTGGCCATCGATTGAACTATTTGTTATTGGATCGTTAAATAAATTAATTCAGCAGGTTTCAATTTTAACAACACCTCCACATGTCGATGATTCGTGCATTCTTGATGAGAAAACTACTTATTGTTCTTATTGAGATTAATTTTAAAAATCCTTATTTGTACTCACATTAATAACAATAATTATAGTAATATATAATAAAACTTGAGAGAATGTGAATTTTCGGTAGAGTAAAATCCACGTTGTAGTGAGGCCTCGAAGAACCTCACGGGAATGCCGCTAAAGTGCGTATCCCAAACCAGCAATAATGCTCGAAGCCAAAAGACATGATTCAGAATTACCGGTGTGGAGGGCCGAGAGATATCATTGGGCGATAGCTCTCCCCACCATTGTAACAACGTCCACCTTTCCACCGCGCGAAAAACTCAACTGAATTTCGATATTATTTCGGCATGCCATGGCTTTCGAATTTACCGGCAGTTATCCGAGGTATCAATGGAGTGCGTAATCTCCTGGTGTGAGTAAAAATATTCACCATTGATCAATCATATTTGATCACATTTGAGTGTTCAATGTCATTGGACGAGTTTAAGAAGTTACATAAATTTCAATTTAACATGTCGATGGAGTACAACTGGTTGAACTCCGTTTTAAAAGTGTTTTTCATTTTTTCGCCCCTTTCGTTGATTGAGCGTGAGGAATATGTAAAAATTGCAGAATGTATTTACCGAGTAATATGCGTCAATGGTGTATTTGCCAGGAATAAAGTTGCGCGGTTTCTTATGGACGGAAATGACAGAGATAGTCGAATTACTTCGTAGTGCTGTCTCCACGTGTGCGGTGCTACCCTCATGTTTATCTTGGAATTAGAGGGGAGGATTTTGGTTTGTCCGTAATTGAGGGGGACAGCGTTTATGGGGAGGCCTGTGATGATATTATGATCGACTAATTATAATGCGGATGATATGACAGATTCAAGCACTCAAATTTCCATAGAGGTGAAAAACGATTTCACGGGGAGACAGTGGTGGCCGTGATTTTTTCAATTTTCTCGCAGTTTCAAATTTCGTAATGGTTTCATTGATTGATGGATTTGAGGGGAGATTACGAGTTTTAAAAGTCGTGGGATATTGCAGTGAGATTTCTTATGCATTGGAGATCGATTTTATGTGCTTAAAAATGAAGAATTCGGCAGCGAAGTGGCAAAAGGGTTTCAGTCGACTTATCTCCCAGTTGAGTTTTTGAGGAATATTTCCGAATCTAAGGGAGATGGCGAAATTTTCGTAATTACTCTTGTTGTAGCTCTGAATCGGCTCTACAAAAAAGGTTATAACAACAATTTTGCTATCTTCCTTAGATTCCGAGATATTCATTGAAAACTGGCCAATAGTGAAAATTGACTTTTACCTTTTTACCACTTCGCTACTGAATTGGTACAAAAAAATTAACTGTTGATTGTTCGTTTGCTCCGCAGACCAATTTTTGAGCTACAGAGGTCTTTTTTAATATAAAAATTTGCGCCATTTTTGTAAAATCGACAGAAAAATTATCCTTAAAATATTAAAAATATATTTTCGATTCTTTCAAAAATGTTTTTCGGGTTATTTTGAAAAAATTAGCTCTATAAGAGTGACATTTCAAAAAACTAATTCGTAATTGTCATTGTACATATTTTTTTCCAAAAATTTTGTAAAAAAAAAACTTCTGTAGCTCAATATTTCTAGGCCCTGGAGTTTTTTTCAACACTTTAAGCGTTTGCGGGGTAAACGAACAATAAGCAATTAGTTTTTCTAGTTTAACAACTAGTTATTCGTTTTTAGATATATATAATCGATTTTCAATGTATGAGAAATCTCATTCCAATAGCCCGCTACATTTAAAACTCATAGTAGTCTCCCCTTAATTAATATAAAAATAAACAAATTGGAAAATTCAAATTATTGACTTTTCTTGTTGTTTCATAATAGGAATAATGGTGAACCTGTTCTCCAATTACTGCGCGCAGCATTTAAAAAGAATTTTCTTTCTTCAACTAACGGTACCGATCGAAAATCATTCAGGTCCACTACAAATCGTTTCACGGATCGAATTCCTTGACTCACAATCCGTCTTAGAGTTGAGGATGATACAGCAATTTACCAGATCAGGCTATACATATCACGCTGTTGCTAATAATTACCAGAATACCATTGATGACGGCAATTTACAAAGGTGTGTCCATTAGGGAATATAAATTGCGGATAATTCTATCCCCGGCAAACGAAATTATCAGTTTCATTGAAATTACTTCCTCCTATCTTTAATCCTGAATTAATTGAAACTATCATCTCCAATCGCTGATCAATTAGATACTACGTCAACTATTGTTGAATTGATAATTCTCTGGGGAATGATTTTACTTTTAAATCAGCTCCGTTTTTTCAACGGCCACAGACACAAATGTCTGAATTTCGCACACCTTTTGCAGACATTTTTCAGACACTAAAAAACATATGAATAAAATGAAAATTTGTAAATTTGTAATTGTTGTTTAAATTTGTAAATTTGTAAATGAAAATTTGTAATTTGTTAATTTGTTTGAATTTCAAACATGAATTGAGATGTTCGGGCACCCGTTCCTCTGAAATTAAGACACGGTATCATTTTATTCGGTCTTTTTTCCCGGCTGAAAAATGTCTGCAAAAGATGTGGGAAATTCAGACATTCGTCTTTGCTGTGCAGTTTGTTTAGAACTTACTCACCGATTTGACGCTTGTTGGTCTTTTTAATTCTTCTAGCATTATCAATTTTTCCCCACGGTTGACGTCCGTGAAGGATCACATAATGTGACGATGAGGATGTGCGATAACGTGGAGAATAACAAGTAGTATAGGCGGGTTACCGGCTATTGCGTAGGTAGGGACAGCACTTTTTCCAATAGCTACAATATTAGTGGACAATTTTTAGATCGATAACTATCAAAATTGACAATGAAGGGTCTGGTGTAGGGGAGACCGGGGCAAAATGAGAACCCTCTGTTCTTTTTTCTTCTCCAATTAGACAAATGAGCCCAGTGTTTTCTTCGATGTAACGTCGTTCAACCGATCACATAAGTAGGAAAATAGGTTTTGGAATAGAAAATGTAACTTCTATCTAAGACAATCTCTAATCGTCGTCATGAGCAGTATTCTAGTTTCTACGGGAATGAGAAAATTTATCGTCTCATGCAGATATTTAGTCTTACAGTTATGAATTTTTGTAAGTTCATCATAACTTGATTTTTTTGTACACTTAAAAATTTTTTGACTGTTAATTTCCGATACACTTTCAGGGAATTTTTATCACATTTTAGTTCCACTGAAATTTCACGGAATTTCGTCATTGAAAATTCAAAATCTCATGGGAAAATCAGTGAGAACTGCAAATGTAAATTTTCGGTAAGAATAATACTGAATTTTTAATTAATTGGAAATTCAGCGGTTTTTAACACTAAATATTGATTTGTTCGTAGGAAATTCTAATAAGTTGAGAAATTCTTCTCTCAATGCTGCTTAAAAATTTGGAATTTTTTGTGAAATCTGAAATTTTATCATTTATTCCTACGACTTCACAACATTAAAAATTCAAAATCAGCTGTTACCAGTTAAATCTTAAAAAACTCCCACAGCTACCACGTAACTGTTGTAAGCTCATTCTTTTGACATCATTGAGCAGATAGCTGTAATGAGAATAAGGTTTACTGTTTCAACGAAACGCCTCGTCAAATTTCACCTGAATCGAACTCAATATTAGAAATTCAAATCCAAAAAGACAAAATCACATGGACATGCTAGTTGAGGATTCGGTTTTC